AGTTGGAGGCCATCGCTCTTAGGTTGGAGGTTCGAGGCCATCGCTCTCGGGTTGGAGGCCATTGCTCTTAGGTTCGAGGCAGTCGCTCTTAGGTGGGAGGCCATTGCTCTTAGGTTGGAGGCCATCGCTCTTAAGTTGGAGGCCATCGCTCTTAGGTTGGAGGTTCGAGGCCATCGCTCTCGGGTTGGAGGCAATCGCTCTTAGGTTGGAGGCAATCGCTCTTAGGTTGGAGCCCATCGCTCTTAGGTTGGAGGCCATCGCTCTCGGGTTGGAGGCCATTGCTCTCGGGTTGGAGGAGGCCATCGCTCTTAGGTTGGCCTTTTTTCGGCCTTTCAGACGCGAAGAGCTCAAGGCATCTTTGCGCTATCCTGGTCATGACTTTCGTCACGGCTTCCATCAGAAGTCTGGTGATCCTGAGATCCATCCACCGTTCATGAACAGCCGAGCTGTTCTCGGCGGATGCCAAGTGCTGCTTCGTGAGCAGCCAGTGCAACTAGTCAGCAAAAAGTGCCAGCGTCTGATCAATGGCCGGCACCACTGGAGGGTTCTCAAAACTTACCAACAAACTGCACAGATCCGTCTTTCGGAGGGCCCAGACCATCATCACCTGGGTTTCAAACCAACCAGGGAGACTGAGGGCAGGAACAACACTAGTGTCATCGTCGCTCAGCAGCCACTCAGTAGGGGTCGAAGCATCTAGACACTTCAAAGCCGCCCTATAGTGCCCTTCCCCAGGTCGTCCCAGATGTGCCAGGGCTGCAATGGGGACAAACTCGTGGTGTTCAATCCGAGTATCATCTCCTGTGAATTTGGGAATCCTGAACATTGCATCAATGAGCACTCTGGACATGAGCTTCTGACCGTGAATGGTGCCTGCCATAGGTCGGAGTCGGTCCAGGTGAATGCAAATCAAGGAAGGAAGGTGCGAAAAAGCGGTGATCATGCCGGACTCTGTATGCCAATTCTCAACAAGCTGGCGAAGTGAGTGAACCGGTTCAGGCATCACTCGAAGATGCAGTAACATTGCACCCATTGCATGAGCATGTCTTTTTACCGCACCAGTCTCTCGAGCAAACCTGCGTTCCCAGATGCAGTGAACAGCAGCTGAGTCCATTTTGGACATGAGAAACGTCGTAAATTCGGCAGCATCGTGCTGCCGAATGCCATCCCAAGCCGCAAGGTGGTCCTGAAAGTCTCCGCATTGCATCATGGCCTTCAAGCCCTCTCGAAGGACCCCCCAATCATCAAAGGAGAAGTGCAACCGATGCAAGTTGGCCCACACCATGGCAATCATGGAGGAGTTGACATAGCAACGGTTGGCAGGATTTTGCATAACCCATGAGGTCACAATCTGAGCCAGTCGACTCCGGTCAGCAGCAATCACAGGCGAGTGATCATGTCTTTGATCTTCAAAGCCAATGGGGATGCCTTCAGGGAGTGGGACTTCATCTGGATGCCGGCAATTTGCCACAAACTCAGATGACAGGTTGCAGTCAACAACTTGTGGAGACTTTCGCGTCGAAGGCCCACCTGAAGCCGCCAAGGTTGGCTTTTTGTTGTTTCCTGGGCCATCGTCATAGACGTGGGCGTCTTGGTCTTGGACAGGATCAACTTCTTTTCCTTGGTTTTTTATAGGGTGTACGGCCAGGTCAGGTCCTCGAGGAGAATGCCATTCTTCACCATTGTAACCCGAAGTGGGTCCTGGTCGCTGCAAGCCATCAGCTTCAGGACCGGTCTCTGCAGTTCCCGTAGGAGCGCCAGGATCAGGTGTGTTCGAAGAGTGGAGGATTTCTCCTTCAGGTCCGTCCATTGTCGATGCGCTGCCTGGAGGAGAGGGATGCTTCCCTCTTGGCTTGGAACCAAGTAGAGTATGAATGTATCCTGCTGGGCCGTCGCTTGGAGATCCTGGTCGTGGCGCAACATCAAATGACCCATGGCTCGGATGAGATCACGCAGAGGAGGTTCCCTTTCCACGGTCTGACGATCGCGTGGATGCAGATCTTTTCCCACTGCCTCCGACAGGCCCCAGCCTTGGAGCGCCACCAATGATTGCTCCGTGAAAGCGTCCTCCATGGACTCCAAGCCAAAATCATTCACGAAGCGGAAGAGCCAACAACGAGGAGATCTGTATCAAGGTGGGGCAGGCAATAAGGTGGGCCTGGAGATCTTCTCGAGCCATACCACAAAAGATGCGTCCCAGTGAGGAAGCATCAGGGGAAGGCAGGAGTCGAAGAATCTGATGAACAAACATCATGAGGCCACGTTCTTGACAGTGATGATCCACCAAAAGATGAACTTGGAGGTCTGTTCCATGCCCCACAAAATCACACATGAAGCAGCGTGAACTGAGAATCTGAATCAGGTCAGAGCACTGCCACAACTTATGAAATTGACGATCAATAAGCCAGGAGTGCAAGGTACAGACCAGCTCAGCAGGCAATGCGCCTGGGCGGAGTAGTTGTTGAAGCATATCCAACTCAAAGACCCAGGGAACAAGGATTGTTTCACGCAGCCGAAGATGAGTCATGGCCAACTGTCGAAGACCCACGCATTCATGCCGGGATGTCATGGAGGCCACTGCAGGGTTGCAAATACATCCCGTCAAAGGACTGATGACTTGCTTGAGGCTGAGACCAAGATGAAGAGCATCATTCCACAGAATGGAGCGCCTGTCTTGCAGGTGGCGTGAAAGTTCCCGAGCGCCCGTGAAAGCTCTGCCACAACAAAGGCATTGTACCGTCAGGAAAGTCCGGGCACCTGCTTCACGAAGATAAGGGCCAAGTCGACCACTCAGCAAGGCAGCCTTGAGTTCAGGGCTGATGGAGACTTCGGGCACATGCATCCAGTGAAGTCACCAATAGTCCACAATGGGAACAAGCTGGTTCCCCTTGAACAGAGTCCCGCTTGGGATCATATCGATGTAGCTGCTGCTGATGTGCTTGAAGATGTGCAGTCAGTTGAACCCAAGTACCAAAACTCTGTGGGCAAAGATGACACGTCCAAGAAGGTGATGACCGTGGTTCGGTTCCTGTCGCAGCTGAGGATTGGACAGGAAGAGGTAGATCAGCCGGAGCAGGTGTGGAGGAGGCCAGTTCAGCCTGCAAGATGGCAGTCTGCAGTAAAATAGGGCATCCATGCTGTTGCTTCCAGGATAGCGAACAAAATGGGCATGGTGAGCTCCGTACATGAGTCCGCTGTAGTTCAACCATTTGGTCAACACCTGGAATCAGAACCTGAGGATGGGCCTCCCGCAAGTGAACAATCAGCTCACGACTGCGAGTGCGCCAGCGTCCACACTTGAGACAGTGATGAGAAAGGAAATCACACACCTCACGATCTTGCTGCAATGCGTGCCATTGCCCTCCTCGAACAAAGTCAGAGACTCTGGCGCTGAGAGTGGAGAGGTTCATAACCTGAGTGCAAGGCAAGACAGTGAAAAAGTCAGTAAGTGAGAGCTGGGCATTCTTTGGCTGGGTTGGTAGATCATACTTATCAAACGAAAGCAGCTCTCTCCAAAGGGTGGCTGGAACAGCATGTGTCTCAGCTGATGCTACTACAAATGAGAATGGTTGTTTCTAACACCTGTTCTGAGCAATGTGCCGTCGAAAGCTACTCCAAGTGTCAAACTTCTTCGAACAGCGAGCGCACTGAGGAAGACCTTCAACCGCATGTTGCTCATAATCAACGGGTTGAGGGACACAAAACATGTCATGTGAACGAGTGAAATGTCGATGGAGGTCAGTCACATCCGAAAAAGAGGCATTGCAAACATGACAAGTCAGGCCTGTCTGAAGCTGACAGACTGGCAAGTCCGCAGGAGAACACACGTAGAGGGCCTTACGGAATCGCTCAATGACTTGAAGAGAGTCGGACAATGAGAAACAGGAGTGCCTAACAACAATATCAGCATCACTCAAAAAGGATACATTATGGTCGTGCCGACGGAGCCTGGCCTGCGCAGATCGTCGGAGGGATTCAACGGGATGCTCAAGACCGAAGGCGTGCTCGCTCTTAGGTTGGAGGCGATCGCTCTTTGGTTGGAGGCCGTCGCTCTTTGGTTGGAGGCCATCGCTCTTAGGTGGGAGGCCATCGCTGGAGGCCATCGCTCTTAGGAGGCCATCACTCTTAGGTTGGAGGCCATGATCGCTCTTCGGTTGGAGGCCATCGCTCTTCGGTTGGAGGCCATCGGTCTTAGGTTGAAGGCCATCGCCCTGAGGTTGGAGGCCATCGCTCTTAGGTTGGAGGCCATCGCTCTTAGGTTGGAGGGCATCGCTCTCTGGTTGGAGGCCATCGCTCTTAGGTTTGAGGCCATCGCTCTTAGGTTGGAGGCCATCGCTCTTAGGTTGGAGGC